TAATTCCCTAGTTGACGGTTTAGCTAAACAAGGGGCAGAAAGGGATTCATTGTTTTGGGCTAAGCTGTAACGTTAGTGTCTTTGTATTTTCTTTTTTCCTTTCTTGAAGCTCTTTGTGACTCTTGGAAGATAAGTGTGTTTTTCTTCCACTTGTAAATTTTCTACTGATGAATTAATGAAAGTGTTATTGATCAAAAAAAAAGAAAAAAGAATAGTTGAATTGGACTCTCCCCTCTTTCTCCTTTATATAGAGCACTCTCCTAATCTAATTAGGAGTTGATCCAAATCAACTTTGGATCAAGAGTTAATCTTTAATTGATAAGTATTATCTTCTTAAGATGATAGGTGCTCCATACCCAAATCCATGCCCATTTTCAACCCAAATCACATGACAACTTAAGTTGTCATGTGATCACTTAACTAATCATATTACTAATGGGCCTTAGGCCCATTTCCTCTAATGGTTTACGTCCCAAGGTATTGCATGGCCACTTTGGGCCTGAATATTGTATGTTGTGGGACCCACAAAGGTCTCACATAAGTCCATAAGGGTTCGGTGCCAGTGAACCCCTGACCCAATCAACATGAGCTTAGTTTGGGCCCAACATTTACACCTAAATGATCCTTGGATTTAGCCACCCTATGAAGACCCAAGGATAATGGACTTATGTAAGATAAAGCCCATCAGGTAATCGACTTTGTAATGGTCTTTTACACCTAACCTCTCGGCCCATAATCATTAGAACACTGCCCATAGGGAAGGACCTCTTCCCTGACTACAAAATGCAGTGTCACACTCTCTACTCAGATGGATCCCAGGATTAAAACCTTTTGCAAACCTTTTTCATAAAATAGTAATATAACATATAAATATATTTTGGAAATCAGATTTCAAATATAGTTGAAATCCATTGCTGGTAGTTTAGGTTTCTATCAGAGAGTGTAAAGCCTGATATTCATTTTGTCTGACAAAGGGGTTGATCTTATTCCTAACACTATGATCACTCACTTAAGTAATTTCCCAAACTGCCCTAACATGCCTAGGTATTTGACCCTTGATGGATTTCACTAGTTGACACACCAAAGACAGCTTAGTCCAATACCTAGTGTAGTATCATAATCAAGTTTGGGATTAAGTGCAACTTTCCATTTCTACCCACCTATCTCCAAGGTCTAGGGCATAACTAGAAATTGGTCGGGTCCAGGTTCAGTGTTTCTTTTAAACACCCACTAACTGTGTTTGGGGTCTAACCCTAGCAGCTGAGGCAAGCTGCTCCAAGTTTATCCAATGGCTGAAAACATTCTAAACTGACACGAGTCTCATAAGTGTCCAATTTAAGGAGTAATTCATATAAAACATACCGATTAGAACATGAAACAATAATGTACTTTATTCATTCACTAATAATTGTTTATGTACATCATTCTAATTGGAGCTAAGGCCATATACTGTCTAAAAGAAATAACCAGATGCTGTGTCAAGACCATGTTAACAAGACTTAACAGACAAGAGGCCAAACTTAAACCATTTCCAGCATCTGGAGTCTTGGGCATGGATTAACTAGTTGAAATTTGCAGCAGGACCAAAAGTTCTGATACCTGGTGTGCTTCCCAATCATTAAAATTCCTCCTAAATTCTGGAGTCAAGCGATGGAGTCATCTTCCACCACATAGGAATCCGCCGCCAACACATATCTGTTACTAGCCAACATAAAGAGTTTGGGGAACAGTTTCACAAAGATGTCAATCTCCACACCAAGGATCCATCCAAAACCTGGGGTTTCTGCACTTGAATAAAAACACCTGGGGCTTATTTTCAAATCATTGGTTAGAGATATACATTAGTGGATCTAGAAACTCATTAGAAAAGCTTTTCAGTCTCAAGGCTAAGAATCTGGGGTGGTGAATGATCCAAGGTTTAACTCTATTCCTCATCCATTTAATTACCACTTCAGTATCTCCCTCCCTTACCTTGCAAAGATAAGCAGTCCAGAGGGCAAATCCTTACCTCAAAGGCAAAGAGAATCTTTTCCCATTGAATCTCCCTTCTCCATGGACCCTTGTAAACCATGCTGGCATGTTTTAAACTGCATTTGCTCTACATCAAATTACCTCCAAACTAATTCTATTTTGCATTTTCTTTATGTTCTCACCTTCATCTGCTTAGTTTATGAAGTTGGAAGAACAAATAATTTACTCATTTATTTTTTTGGAAATCCTGTTGATTATTACTTTTTATTTTCATTGGATTATTTTGTGCATTTGATTATTCTGTTAATCTGTTTATAGATTAATTTTTTGTTTTCATGGTTGAAAAATGAGTGACTAATGATCATAAATTTCAGATGGGAAAGAAGTTGTGAAACGCCGAGGTCGTCCACGTAAACGGCGTAATATACAAGGGAAGAAACTCTTTGATGGACAAGTCTCAAGTGAAGAAGAGGATTCTATTAGTGCATCTGACCAGGATGCCCAAGATGGAGAAGAAGAGCAGGAAGAGGAGGCAGAGGAGGTTCCTTTGATACATTCACTTAGGTCATCATCCAAATCGAGGTCATTGAGAGTTTCACGGCAGGAAAGTAGAGGCCAGATGAAGACAGCAGATTCCGGGAAAGCTTCACAAGATAAGGCTGCTTCTAGAACATCAGGTACGGAAATTTCATCCTATCACGGGCTTAAATTATACAGCATTATTTCTGGGCAAGACATACAGAAAAACTATTCTCCCTACATTCAACTTGGTTCCACAAGAACAAGATACATCCTTGAATATCTCTTTGGTCAACAGACCTGGTTTCAATTGAATTTGATGACTGTCCAAAAGATAGATCACTCGGGATAACTTGATTGGGTTAGGTTTTGTTGTCCTAGATGGGAACTGGACCATTGGCCTTTCTTCACATGCACATGACTTGAATGGTAAGTGATGGATAGATAAACTACTTTTGTCAGTTTTGGGCTTTTCTGGTCCCGGTATTATTTTAGAAACTGAAGTTTATGAAACTTCTTGTTGACTTTGACTGCTTGCATGCTTGAGGATTTACAAGAAAAGTATTCTAGTGGTAGGATTTCTCTGATGAACCAGGCCCGTGTGGAGTAGTAGTTCACTCGAGGACTAGCCACTTCCAATAGCATTTTCATAGTATTGACCAATGTTTTAACTTTTAAAACTAGACTGGACCAGATGGTTGGACTGTTCAACCTGGGAACTGGAAGGCAATCTGTTTTTTTTTTTTTTAACCCCCGGTTTTCATTTTTGGAAAAACCTAAGATCTCCTAATTACATGTGTTAGACATCAAACCATCAAGCTATCATTCATTTTGTGCTTATTTATGTGTCTAATTTATATATTGATTAAATATGTATATATTTTTAATAAAACACAAATAACAAGACTTGAACCCTGGTCATTTGAATTCGGATTTGGTCCTCACACTGTCCTCACAGCCACCTGCAGCTGTGCATTGGGAATATCTCCCTATGAATAAAAATATACTAGTATGAAGATGTTCCCAATGTCCTCACAGCCACCTGCTTTCTAAATGGATCTGGAGATTTGCCACCGAAAGGGGAGCTTGGTGGAGAAGCCTGATTGCTTCTAAATTTGGGGTTGAATGGGGTAACTGGAGAACTAGAACCCCCCCACCTAACTGGGGTTATTCTTTATGGTAGTTCAAATCATTGACTACAATCAGGATGACCAGTGGAATTGGGTCTGGTCCAAAGAGGGTATTTTCTCTGTAAAATCTATGGCCCATAGACTTTGTAGTAGAGTGGCAGAGGGGGACTTCCCTGCTGAGCAGGTTTGGAATTCAGTTTGTCCATCAAAAGATAATTTCCCTGTCTGGACAATGGCCTTAAACAAATGTCTGTCCAGAACCAATCTTGAAAGAAGAGGATTGCAGATCCCAGATAAATCTTGTGTCCTTTGTGATGATCATCTAGAGTCTACGGATCATCTTTGCATTCATTGCCCGTTTACTGCCCAGGTGCGGTATCACTTCTTGAAGGCTGTGGGGATATGTTGGGTCATGCCTAAATCGGTTAAGGAGTTGATTTGTAGTTGGAAGCTCAGCAATTTAAAGAAAAGAGGGAAATTGATCTGGATTTCCATCCCGGCAGCAGTGATTTGGGCTATTTGGTCTGAGAGAATTAACAGAATTTTTAAGGAAAGAGTGAGAGGGCCCGATGATATAGTTCAGATGGCTGGTAAACTGATATCTTGGATTTCAGTCACCCCAGAATTCAGACACATAAATGCAACTCAGTTAGTGAGAAATCAGTCAATTTGGTGCTTGTAATGGGGGTTTCTCAGGCCTGCCTTGTTGTTGGCAGGTTCTGTTTTGTACTTTTATTAGTTTGATTTAATAAATTTACCTTACCTTTTCCAAAAAAAAACGAAGATGTTCCCTGCATGGCTGCAAAAGGCTGAGGACCAAATTCGGTCTCTGGTCATTTATGCTAAAAAGCAACACCTTAACCATTTAGCCGACACTAACATTTATGTTATAAATTAAAAAAAAATTATTTTATGTTTTTTTGCTATTTGTGAAACCGTTGACCGTAACCCGGAAGACTTTCCGGTTTTGTATCTGGCCCGAGTCTTAAAACACTGTTATTGACAAGCAACTTGACTTTTTTACAACATTGCACAGCACATTTCTGAAACCTTTACTCTCAACTACATTCATATCTTGTCATTTTCTGAAACCTAGTATTGATGGGCAATTTGTTATTTCTCAACATTGTATGGCATATTTCTGAAACCTTTTTCTCAACTACCTTCGTATCTCTATGTTATCATCTTCCTTTCTTTGTTTTATGATCTCGGATGGGATTAAATTTTGGATATGGATTTGTTGCAAAGACTATGGTAACGCTCCATTGATGGTCTGTTTTTCCTTTCACGGAAAACATCCCCTCTCCTGCTGCGGATGACCTCTCGTTGTGGGTATATGATATATCTAATTATGTACAGATTGGAATATTCTCGATTATGGTTTATAGAATTACAATTAGATGGGTTATCTTACATTATTGGTTTTTCATTTACAGGGGCCTCTGATTAGTGGCACTGGCGAGTGTTATGTGCACAAACACGATGCATACCTAGAAATATGATGACATATATGTAAACTATGTTGTAAAACTCTTTTCAGATGGGGGCCATTTCTCCCTTTTTTGGGGGTGGGGGGAGGAAAAGCATCTTGTATTCTCGTGGTAGATTTTGACCCTTTTTCGGTTTAATTTTTATCTTGTAATTGATGTAATCATTTCTTTTCTTTTCTTTTTTTATTTTTGTAAAACTAACTGCTAAATCACTTAGGCTGCGTACTGAACCGTATATATAATGACCATTGCATTTTGAAAATCGATGTGAAAAAAATGTAAAGTTTTACATCGATAAAATTGTAGTTTTTATGTAAAACTTTAAAGGTGGTGAGGTTTTACATTTATTATCGATGTAAAACTACACCATCCAAACGCACACAAAACTGAATTGAAGTGTAGTTTTACGTTGATAATAATTAAACTTTTACCAAATGCATACAAAAGCTAACTGATATAAATTTTACATCGGTTCTTGATTTACATCGCATCCAAATGAAGTCTTAGGAAAAGAAATTTCATTTCTATTTGACAATCGTCTTTGTTGAATTCTAGAATGTCTAAGTCTAATCATCATTTAGTTGGGAATTTGAAATAAGTTTTCTTGATACAGTGCCCCATGGTTAGTGGTAATACAGGCATTCACCAGGAATGACCGGTATAGCAAGTGGACAAAATGATAAATCGTCTTTGGCGAGCAACGAGATCGGATGGGAAAGGATGCTTGCTGTTGAATCTCATTGGTAGGTTTATGTTCAAGATTGTATTGATAGCTTATGTTTTGATTTTGGTGAAACATTGTTGGTTTTGGGTCTAACCGTCCAAGGTGTTTGTTCCAGTGTTGGAAGTTGGAACTAGTCTGTTTAACCCCCAATTAGCAAATAGGTTGTATCTAAGATGAATCTTTGATTATTCAGCTACAGGCTAGCACGTCCCAAACAAACTCATTGTCACTGTACTGTTTGTGACAATGGCTAATGGCCCTATCCCCATTATTGGATCTTGTTCAATTGGCTAAGGCTGTATTTGCCATTTCTTATTTTAAGGACTTATCTCTTTTTGCAGTTAAAATCTGTGTTCCTTAAAATAAAGAATGCACCTAATGGTGTGTTCTGTGTAAAGCAGATGGGGAGACTGGTTTTCACCTAATGGTGTCGTGCCACTTCGCGAGGTCATTGTGGGATTGGGCTTTCTCCTTATTTGGATGCAGTTGGAATCCCCCATCAGACATGTAGAGCCTTTTCGCCCCCTCCTTCAGGTGGCGGTTAAAAAGGGGAAGGACAATGTGGAGAGGACTAAGGATTGCAGTATGTTGGACACTGTGGGAAGAAAGGAATTTCAGGATATTCTCAGAAACTTAGAGAGAGACAGTAGATTTGAGGGCTATCATATAGTTTAGGGCGGTATAGTGGTTGAAATCTTCGGAAATATTCACAGATTACACTGTGGATGACATGTTGAGAAAGTGGGGTGAAATTGCAAGTTGCACGCAGACCAAGTCAGTAATGAGCGTGGCTTGGACCCCCTCACCTAGTGGATTCTTGAAATTAAATTTTGATGGATGTAGTAGGGGAAACCCGGGACAATCAGGGATTGGGGGTGTTTTTAGAGATAAAAATGGGGTCATCTCTGCTATGTTCTCAGGGCCAATTGAAGTGGGCGACTCCCTTAGAGCTGAGATATGTGTAGTTATGGAAGGAGCCCGAAAAGCGAAGGAATTGAACATCAAGAAATTTATAATTAAAGGGGATTCAGAGGTGGTGATAGGGTGACTGATCAAAGAACAAAATGATCTTTTGAAGTATAACAATGAGAAGCGGAAATTCAAATGGCTGGTGCGGGAAATGGAAGTTAAGACATGTTGGATTAAGAGATCAACTAATTCCCTAGTTGATGGTTTAGCAAAACAAGGGGCAAAAAGGGATTCCTTTTTTTGGGAGTTGTAATGTTAGTGTCCTTGTATCTTTGTATTTTCTTCCTTCCTTTCTTGAAATTCTTTGTGACTCTTGAAAGATAAGTGTGTTTGTCTTCTACTTGTAAATTATCTTGATGAATTAATGAAAGTGTTATTGATCAAAAAATAAAAAATAAAAAATGCCAAACGCAGCCTAAGTGAATCATACTTTAGATTTTTGCTTGAACTAAGACCAATCGTTGACTGCATCACAACATTTAAAGTTGGGATTTCGTTGATCTTGACCCAGTTGACCAATCGTCTAGTTATCCTGACTTTTAGTGACCTAAAAATCCTGTTTGCAAAACATTGCATAAAATCCCAAGGTTTCCTTTTATTCTCCTATTTCTGTTTTCCATTAATTTGTCATTCATTTTACAAAATTTCCGGTTAAGCAAATAAAAAAAACCCCATTATAATGCCATCATTAGAAGTTTTAATTTTGAAAACCACGAGGAAGTTTATGGTGGAAAGGTAATGGAAGAGTAACGAGAATTGAGGAGGAAGTATGCTTTATTACTACGAAGATTCTACTCTCCACCCCCATTTTGTCTGAACACTACTATATCCTTAGAGAAGGAAAACGGAAACCTGCCCCAGAACCAGAATTAATGGCATTGCTTTAATCGTAACGCCTAAAGAAATTAAAAAAGAAAAAGTAACGCAAATCGGCCCATACCATATATTGAAGCCCATGCAAAAGCAAAACCCATGAACTATTTCCTCCTGAACAGTCTGCATAAAATCTCAATCCTTCTGACTCAGTCACTCCTCAACCTTCAAAAGAAGCCAAGGATAAAGATCTACGTTCTACGACCACGACCTAATGGCCAGGTCAATGACGTCTGGGGTGTTACAGTTCCTGGCCTGCATTGCTGTGTCGATTGCCCTCAACAAGAACGTGGAAGGAAATGACACGGCAAATGGGGTGGGTGGATATTCTGTGAATGAGGTGGATGATGGCCTGCAATTGCCACCTTTTAACCCAGGGTCTCAGCCACCTAGTCCATACATTCCAATGCTTAGTCCAGAGTACTTCGCTATGGCACAGAGGTGCCTCGTTGGGTTAGATTTTATGTGTCTGGAAGAGGTGATGGATTCTATAGGGAAGAATACATTCCTCCTGAGTGATGCATGCTGCAAGCAAATCCTGGGAATGGGAAGAAAATGCTGGGATGATGTTGTGGTTCCAATAAACCGGCAATTCGGTCCCAAACTCTTCAACCAATGCATCTCAGTTGTGGCACCATCTATTTCTCCCATCCCACCAGGAATGGAATCCAATTAGGCGAAAAAAAAAAGTGAAATGAAAGGCGGAGAAATTTCTTTTCTCGTATCCCCTGCAAGCAAAACCACTTGGTATGTTTTCCCATGGTATGTATTAACATTTAGTAATAAACACAGTTCTCTCAAATGTAGAATGGTTGGGAAATAAAGATTTTGCCATTAAATGAGCAAAAAGTGTAAGAACACTATTGACTATTTCAGGTTCAGGGTAATTTTTCCATGCTCAATTCTTAAAAACTAACCAGTGTGGCGGGGTTAGGGGTTAGGGGTTGGCCTGGTGAAATTAGCAAACCCACCCAAAACCTGAAACCCGGGTCAATGAATGCATGATTTTTTTCTTTTTGGTTTTTTATTTACATTGAAAGAAACAAAATCAAGGGATGTAAATTAAAATCAAGTTAGAACAAATGTCAAAATTTGTAATCAAGCCAAGCCGAGCTGTGCTTTGCCCTGCCCAGCTTGACTCAGGGTTCAGAACTAGTCTGAGCGTTGAAGGGACAAAACATAAGAAGACTTTGAAACATGAACATCCCGCCCATGCTTGACCAAATCCATCCAAGCCCATCCCAACTTCTGTTGGGTTTGGGACTCATGCTTTAACCTTGGGTCCTGGCACGAGGTGCAAGTCTCATGCTTGGCTTGGATTGGCCTAAACCCCACTAAACCCACTCAATTTGTACTCCTACTTTATTAGGTGTTAAGAAGGATTCAAAAGGATTTAAGGAGAAAGAGGGATATAATGGGAGGGGGGATTGAAACTTAAATCCAATCAATATGAAACAGCTTAGAAAATTTTCCTCAAGAATCCATAAGAAAGGGGCAAAGCAATCGATAACAAAGAAGCACTCACTTCATTTTTGCCTCTGTAAACAAAACATGACGATTCACCCGAGGGTCATACTTACGAAACTCAAGCTTTTCTGTGATTTTCCGAGGATTCTTCCGCTTCACATAGAAGAATCCTGTGCCCACAGCTGAGATAAGCCTGATGAAAATTGATCCACCCTTTGCCTTACCCATTCTTAGCTTTTTTAGAGACAAAAAATAGTCAATTGAAATCTGTAAAAAATAAATAAATAAATTCATCCCTGTTTAAATGGATATCATGCAAAAGGATTAGATCTTACATCAAATGCATATATGTGATTAAGTTCATGTGGTTGATGAGAAGCACATCTAGAACAATTATAAGGTTCTGAAGAACAGATTCTACCAAACTAGTTTATCATAAAATGCAAAAGGATTAGATCTTACATCAAATGCATATATGTGATTAAATTCATGTGGTTGATGAGAAGCACATCTAGAACAATTATAAGGTTCTGAAGAACAGATTCTACCAAACTAGTTTATCAGAAGGTTGTTCTTATAAAATGATTCATGGCAGGATTCTGGTGTACACCAAATAATATTGTCCAGTAACTGCACAAACCTACCCGTGTTCACTGCTACATTTATATGAAGTCCAACTTTTGTTGTTGAGGTTACTCAAAGAAGTGAATCGTAAGACAAACTTGTAAAAAAAAGTAAATAATTGAGCAATGTTATGCAAACTGAATCATCAGAGAAGGTTTAAATGATACCCACGAATCTTCAACTCATAGCATCACTACTCATCAACAGACAGCCCCATACATAACCTGGTTTGGGTTTTTCTTATTTTTTTTTTCCTTGGATGCTATAAATAAAAGTTCTCTTTACCAATAGAAGGAAAAAAGTTTCCCTGTTAATGGGCTAGTCCAGATTAGCCTAAATCTAACAAAAGAAAATGTACATTGACTAGACATAGTTGCCAGATTATGAACTCCTTTCTATTTCCACATCACCCTCAGAAAATGAGTTGGCTCTGCCATTGCTGGCGCATCAGTTTGAGAGGGGAGATCAGGTCGATTAATTTGGAAACCACAGACCATTTCTTTTTCTTTTTCGTTTTTCAAGTAAATACACTAACCTGTAATAGCTCTCCAGTCCCAAAACCTAATATGTTGTTGTCAGCCTACCAAGTTTGCACAGGACAGAAAATGCTTTTACAAAATCTCACCTTCATCATCTCTCCACATGCCAAGGAGCAGGACAAGGTCACCCAGAGAACAACCATCAAATGGGAAGTTGCTTCCTTCTGTTGGCAGGTGTTTATTATTTTATTTATTTTTGGCGGGAGGTGGGGGAGGGGAAGAGTCGGAGGTTTCAGACCACAGGATAGACCATAACATGATTAATTGATCCAAACAGACTTACCGACTTCCACTTGACAAGAATGCTCCTTGTTTTGATTCCTTATAACTAGTTAGAACCAGTACTTCAATGGGAAAAAGAAACTATACTCTTCTTAGTCACTGCAAAGGGGGAGCACTTTCTATATCTGTTTTTAAAAACCCTAGGAGGGGAATGGGAAGTCCAAAGCATCTTATAATGCAATCCAATCATCATAATGGGGCCAAAAAAAATTACTATAAAACCATAATACCATATTATTTATAAAAAAAAAACACTATAATACCATATCCACTGTGATGTAGGACCAGCTCAGTTTTAGTCCTTAGAGAATGTTGAATGGTCTTATTGATCGCTGTAATCTTCTTGAAGGAATAAGAGAGAAAATAGAGAGAGAGAAAGAAGAGAGAAAATACCTGGAATCACAGGGTGCCTAGAATCACTCATCATAGCTAGCATAAGCTGAAGAAAACTCAATAAACTTCATTGCCTTTGTGTAAAACGTCCATACATATTTATAGACTCTAAACTTATAATAATCCTAGGAGTCAAACTGTTAGACTCATAATAGTCTTAGGAGTCAAACTGTCAGACTCAATAATCTTAGTAGTTAGTAGGACTCAAACTAAGTTGTCATATCCTATTTCAATTCAAAGAAGACTCAATAACTCTAATCCTACTTATGCAATGACTAAAATTTTAAACATAAACAAACTATAACTAGACAATCAAACCCTATTATTGGATCCCCCAAAAAATTGCAAAAATGACAAAAAAATACCCCTACTGTCCAAAAATACAGAAATACATAAAAATTTCATAAAATTCCAATTTTGCCTCTTCAGCTCCTGCATCACACTGTTAAGAAACAAAGCCTTCATGTTCTGTCAAAACAACAAACTACTTCAAATTTCCTAAAAAATAAAGTGGCTTGTAACCCCACTTACGTTGGCTTGCCACAATCTATGGAAATTGAGAAGGAAAGCAACCTTATCATCAAACGACTTATCCATCATAAAGGACTCCTAAAGAATGATGGAACAAAACCTTTTTCAAGAGGACGGCATATTTCCAAATAAGCCAATTTGGCACCAAAGTTTCTTAGTGAGATAAGGCAGCAAAGAATGATCAAATTGAAAAACATGTCTCTTGGCTCCAACTTCTAGACTCTCCTGTCTTTAACATAATCAAGTGTAGCATTCTCAGCTAGTTTGCTGAGTAGACCACCCAACTCACCAATGTCCAAATCATTTGGATTTCTTCTGAAAGATGAGGAGTTCAGCCATAAACATCCCACATAAAGTCATAGAAGGATATAACACTCATAAAATACCAGGCATGCTCCCAAACCTCAACATGATGCCATATCAAACTCAGAAAGTCAACTTTTCTTAAAATCCTCTTAAGAGTTCAGATTCCCCTGTGAAACTATTGATAAAGTTTCTTAGGATTCCAAAAGAACTTAAAGAATGAGTGATTAGGATTGTGGGAACTGAAATTTTGAACCAGGAAAGGGTCACTTGCACCTAGTGATCTGAAATTAGTTGTATCCATTTTTGACCAAGAATATCATTTTTATTATCAGCTGACCAAGAATATCATGTTGGCAGGACCAAGTGGGTTGTGGGAAAGAATCTTGTTCCTGGTCTCCCACTTGAAGCAAGGCATTTATCTAAGTTAAGCAGCAGTAACATACAGGTGAAAAGGAATCATATAAAGCCTTTCAATTTAATAAGATTGAACCACAAGGGATCAACTTTTCAAGATTTAAAGAAAAACAAATTAAAGATAATAAGGTACTTTCTCCCCTTCATAAGGCACAATCATCAACCATAATCACCAATTAAAAAAAAAAAAAAAACTGCAGAAACTTAAGAATTTTGAAGGAAAGAATAATGACTTAATGTTCCAACGTGTAAGAGATCAAGAATACAGTTAGCTACTTCATTTCGAGCGTATTCTTTGGAGGAGGTCGAAATCTATTGCAAAACCAAAATTTAGAACCTTGGGTAAGATTTGAACGGTTGTTGAACTCTGCCGTGGGCTAACTTGGACTTTTCTCTGGACTCTGATCAGCTACTTCGTTTCTGATAATCCAATAGATGATAATGATATGGAGTTCAAATTTAATAGCCATACTAATTCAATGCCATATTGCTAAATCAAGATCATGTTGGAATCACAGTCTTCTTGGAGGCTCATGTCCAATCAAAGCATTCACCTAGAAAAGATGGCATAAAACAGCAAGGGAGATATTATGCATTAACTCAGACAAGATATTTGTACATGGGCATAAATGCTTTGTCCAATCAAAGCATTCACCTAGAAATTTGTATTGGCGGTAATCAAGGAATTTGATATTGATGAATCCAGCACAAAATCGAACTCAAAAATGAACACTGTTACACTGCCCAAAAAATTTCTATAATGAAAATCTACCCTCGAACACTAGCCAAAATTCATCCAAAACATATAACCTACAACGACATTCCATTTCTCTGAACTTGAGCAAGAGAAATGTGGAGAACAGTTCAATGCTTCTAGCCGGCCTACCCGAAACCGCTACCAGAAAAGGCACTAATGGAATCTTACCTCTTATCTTCGTCGTCGCCGGAATTCCGTCGTCTTCACCATTCCGGGAACTGGAGCAAACTACTTAAAAAACCCTCACAGTCACAGAGGATCCTTCCTTGCAGAACGTGGATTAGCTGTAAGGACATAAATGCCCTTAAGGGAAATAAATAATTACTTATAAGCCCAAAACAGAGCGTAATCGGGCAAAGGTAAGTTATAGTGTTCCGACCGACCTTCTCATCCTCTTCCAACACTACCATAAACTCTTGCTTTCACAAAGAAGGTACACTTTTTACGAATTCTTCATCCGATTTTCTGTGGTTTCTGAGAAAACCCTATAACGTTAGTCCTGATATCTGGTTCCCCTTCCTTTTTTTTTATTTTTTTTTATTTTTCGTTGCATAGATTGATAATCGCAATCGAGATGGCGAGCACGATTGATTCCGCCGGAGAGCCAATCCCGACTTCGGCCGTACTCATGGCGTCTTCGAAACATATAGCAACGAAATGCAGAATTGAGAACATGGCGTTCATCAATTGCAAGAAGAAAGATCCCAACCCAGAGAAATGTCTTGATAAAGGTCAGGAGGTCACTCGTTGCGTTCTAGGCCTGTAAGTATTCAAGGATCTACGTCTTTGTTTGTCTTATTAATATACATTGCAGTTGTCGTTGTGAAAATTGGACCTTTTGTTGTTAAACTTGTGATATGGCCAAGCAATCGAAATAGAAAAGCTTGCTTTGATCTCTGCCCAAGATTCTACAGTGTGTGCATTTGATTGGTCTGAGTATTACAATATACATAACTTCTCAAATGCAAGGAAGCAGAATTATTTCGCTCAGTTATGGTTAAAAGCTGGCATTGTTGGCCTTCCTTTTTCCCTTCTCTTTGCCCTTAAAGAGTCATGTAATTGGTCAATTATGGAACCTTTTAGCATGTTATGATGATAAGGAGTAGGCGGCTTTCTGACTGCTATAACTTCTCTTGATCCAGAGACTGTACCAAGCTTTGAATCTTTTTCCTAAGAGGTGAAATGTGAAGCTTTTTTTATAAGTTCAAGGATGAATTCTTAGATTGTTACTGAAAATAGGATGAATTCTTATTAAACGAGCACTAGCACCAGAAGCTGTCGTAGTGTTTAGTTCTGCTCTTGCAACTTATATTGATGGTTACAAAGGAGAAACATAAATCGGGCATGACAGATTCGGGTTTATGGTGATGCATATTTCCTCTCTCGGTTGCACCTGGGAGGCATTAAAGGAAAATATAATTGGGTATGTTATTTGGAAGGGTTAATGATGCTAGGTCACTAGTTATGGCTGCTCATGTTTGTTCCCTATGGTGAAGAGGCGTTTGAAGTGAACTTCACTTGCGTAAGGAATTTTATTTCATGGCAAACAGCTAAGAATGAAAAAATAATACCACTTGAGCAAGGTAGAGTTCTTTCCCTTCTTCTGTGACCTTAGATTGCTACAACTGTATTAAGGTGAATTGAGTCACATGTTAGGTTGCTACAACCGTATTAAGGGGAGTTAAACTACATTAACTCTATATGAACATTTTAGGGAGTGTCGGTTGGTGGTTCATTATCAGGTGGTGTTTCTATATATGGGAACCCACTTTTTTAGGAAAAAGAAAAGAAAACTCTAAAAAGTTGTTCTAGTAAAGGTCTGGTTCTTTTCTTTTTTTTTTTTTAGTGAAACAAAAAAAAAAAAATCACCAAAGTTTACTTTTGCATTTCGAAAGGCATTTTATAATTTACTTTGTCCATAGAAGCAAGAAGTAGGTGGAAAGCAGTGCCCCAGATTTCTGTAGTTACCAAAAGGTAGCATAGTTTTTTGGAATTTGTCACCTTCCGTTTCTTGTTTTTAACCATAAACACCCCCTAATGAACCTTCAAAGGTTGTTTCGTTTTAAAACACAATGAAAATGAAAACAAATAGCAATCAAACATGTCCTGAACACTTAATAATTGCATTAAGTAATGCAGTAAACCATGTTTATGGCGACCATCATCATCAATAAATAATTCCTAGAAGCATGGCATTCATCTTTGAATAAGGGGTATTCATGAGAAAGGATTATTTGGAATCACACATCATTTGCCATTTATTTGTGTTTACGAAAGGAGTGGAATAGCAGACTTTTGAAAGACTGATGCAGGTTTTGTTTTTTTTTATCAATAGTGCAGGTTGATTTTGTTTTCACAGTATTTTGAAAATTGAATCAATCATCCATAAATGAGGGAGAAATTAAAGTGAATGTTACCCGTAGAATTAGAGCAGGTTGGCTGTGGTTTTTGACCAACATATACTAATTAGACTATAAGCCTCAGTTTGGAAGGAGTACAAATGCAAATACGTACAGTAGTAGTACAAATATATACAAAATATAAGGTTTTGCACTCTACAGATTTGTATTTGTACTCCTTCCAAACTGAATCAAGGAACATCCTATGAGACAGTTATAATAGGGCTGCAAATGGATTGGATTTAATCCAATTCATTTATGTTGGATTCAAATATTTATTTAGTCATAAGCAGATCAAATCAGATCTGAAAGCATGATCCATTTATTAATTGGGTCGAATTCAGATATTAATTGATATTATCTGCTAAGATTTGATCCAATTCAATTATATAGTGAATCTTTAGAATTAAGTTGGCTGCTATGTTTTTATATTTTGATGAGTAATAGTAAATCTTTATTAATTCAAAAACTGATTTAGAGTTGTGATTTCATACAACATCCAAGGGAGAGGCGCAAGCTGCAGCCCCTCCTAGAATCTTACAATTAAACTAGGAAAAAAATTCAGGAATCACAGCTGAGCCCAAAACAATTCTTCCCTATTTACCCCTTGCTTGGCTAACACATCGGGCAAAGTATTTGCTGATCTCCCCACTCACTATAAAGAGACCAACATATGCCTTGTCGACCAATTGAATTTCTTCATTTCGTTCTTGTAGCACCATATAGCATCTTCAGGATTTTTCAACCAGCCCACCACCACCTTGGAATCCCCTTCAATTATCAAATGCTGTACACTCAACTGGTTTGCAAATTGCACCCCTTGTACAGCTGCTTATAGCTCTACCTTGATAGAGTCTCCAACTCCTAAAGGACCCGAGTAAAGCAAGAAAATCTCTCCATTCTCATTTCTCAGAACACCCCCATTCCGGATAGTCCTGGATGACCCATGCTACTTCCATCAAAGTTCAACTTCAGTGAGCCTTCAGATGGAGGAGACCAGCTTGTAATTAACTTGTCCTTTAAGGGTGAACACCTCGTTACTGCTGACCAGTTTCTCCAAAGGTCATTAAAAGAGAATTGGTGAAAGATTTCCAAAGTCTTCAGCCAAAGTATTGGCCTATGCTAATGCAACACACTGTCTTTCAGTTCCTGACTGCTCCTTTCATTTTCTTGAAAAATTCTAGCATTCCTTTCTTCTCAAAGAGTCCAAATTAGGGCAGCGTGAGCGCATCTCCGCATAAGTCTCCCTCTTTTTGTAGGCCAAGAGAAAGTAGAATGGTCAAAGATCATGCGAACTTCTATTGGTAAGCTCTAACTACTCCCAAACTACAAAAGTAGCCAAGCCCAAAGGTCTGTAGAAAATGGACAAGATATTAGTAGATGGTAACAATCCTCCCCATGAGTTCTACAGAGGATACACCAGTTGGGAGGAATACAAAGGAAAGGCTTTCTCTTTTGTATCTAAAGTGTTTACTTTCCCATAGAATACTTCCCAACAAAACGCCATAATCTTTGGGGAAACTAGCCTACACCAAATTTCCTTTGACGGAAAGGGTTGTTGAGCAGAAGATTGAGAGGTGGACTTGAAATAAGAAGCACAAGTAAAGGTTCCTTTGGGTCTAGGAGCCCACACCCTTTTAGTCCCCTACGAAACCCAAAATCCTAATTAGGAGCCAAGGGTGTTCCCGAGGATGAGACAAATTTTGAGACCACCTCTTTTTTATACAAAGAAACAGAAAATAACAAAGGGAAAAGGTCCTTTAGAGGGGTGTCTCCTACCCAGATATCCTCCCAAAAGCGAACAACATTGCCAAAACAAACTTCATACCTAATAAAATTGAGAAATTGAGGAAGGGTGTTGTGAATGGCCTTCCAAGGTGCTACCAGGTTAGCCTGCCTTGATACACCAGCATACCATCCATTCTTGTACTTAAGGGTGTCAATGGACCGGTTTTGGGTTGGACCCCGTCTAGTCCAAAATCAATTTGGATGGATCGGACAGACCAACAAGACATATTGGATTGACTAATCCGGTCCAAAATATTTATTAGAATGGATTAGACCTGGTCCGTCCGGGTTTGGGTTGAAACCAATCTAAATCAAAATGGATTTGAACAGATTGGATGGTCTAGACATTGAATTGGAGCGGTCCAAATTGGTCCAAAATATTCATTGGATTGGATTGGACCTTGTCCATTTATAATGGACTCACATTGTACTGGATCGGATTGGACCAAATTCAATCCAATTGACACCCCTATCTATACTCCCATGAATAGCTTTTCACCACCTCATGCCACAGCCTCTCACTTTCTAATGGCCATTGCCACAACCATTTCCCTAACAGAGCTTGATTTTTTTTCAACCACCCTCCCAAGTCCCAAACCCTCCTCTTCTTTACTTCTGCAAACAATTTCCCTTTTAACCAAATGATCCTTTTTTTCTTGTCCCTGCTTCCACAAGAAGTCTCTCATCAACTTCTCCAGCTTCCTAGTGTCCCTAGGTGGTATCCTAAAAACATACAGAAAGTAAGTAGGTAAGTTAGCCAAAGTAGCTCTTATTAAGGTGATTCTCCCTCCCAAAGAGATGTAATTCTTCTTCCATGAAGCTAATCTCTTCTCAAACTTTTCTAGGATTGGGGTCCAAAATTTGCTCTCCCTAGTCCCTAAGTAGGACATAAGCCAAGAAGAGATGGAACACTCAAGACACTCTGCAATAACTTCAACTCCCAAACCTCCAAGTTTATACCCACTATGCAACTCTTCTCCAAATTTATTTATTTTATTTTTGATCAATAACATCACTTTTATTAAAATAGATATGGAAGTTACAACCAGATTGGAGGGGTAAAATGTCTTAACCCTCCCTTTCAAACCTGAAAACACATATTACAAGATAGCCCAAAAGAAATCAGTTCTTCCCACCCCCTGTTTAGCCAAGGTGTCAGCCATGGAGTTGGTACTCCTCTTGGCCCATTGAACCCTTATAATCATGTTCTGAATTAGCTGCTTGATTTTCTTTCTTTCATTTGAGAACTTCCACAAGCTGGACTCTTCCTTCTGCAACCATCTAACAGTCAGTTGAGAATCTCCTTCCACCAGCAGCTTACTAATATTCAACTGCTTAGCTCTTTTAACTCCTTCTAGAACTGCCAGGATTTCATCTCTCAGTGAATTCCCCCAACTTATAGGTCCTAAGAACATAGCAATAATTCGACCTTCTTCGTTCCTGAAAATACCACCTATACTTGAAAGACATGGGTTTCCTTCACTACTACCATCGAAGTTCAATTTGATGAAACCCAAGTCTGGTGGAGTCCAAACAGGTCTAATATCACTAGACATAGGAGCTGACCGAGCCACT